TTTTGGAAGTTGACTTCTTATTAAGCAAACATCTTCGATTATTGCTCTAAAATTTAAACTTGGCTTCACATTTCACTGAGTTCTGGTTCTGTTTTCTTACTGTTTCACACACAATAACATCTAAATCTGTTCTTATAACATTATTGAGTGATTTTGTTTATTTTGAGTTTTCCCTAAATATGGATTTTATGGAGACGTCACACACACTGTGATGTTTTAATCTCACCTTTTGTCTTTTTCCAATGTTAAGTCTTATAAACATGGTGACATCAGAGCAGGTGTTGGGCTGAAATCATTGGTCCTGAGTTGTGGGTTGGCTCTCCAAACAGAAGAGAATTGCAGGAGAGTTGAAGTTGTTTCTGCTGATCGATGGCCGCTCCTCCTCCTCCTCCTCTTCCTCTCTCTCTCATACGCTCTTTGTGCCAGGAGCAGCCACTGTGATGATGATTAATAAAAAATGTCTCATGAAAATTACATTATCTCAGGATTCATAATTAATATCAAAATATGACTACACAGGCTAAGTTTGTATTTGTTTCTACATGCTATAGATGTTTTTGTGATCTTCCTCTTTGCACTGTCATTTGTTTTCCAGTTTGATGTTATTGCATCGTCTGAAGGTGTCCTCTTTGTCCTTCACCTCCTCTAACCTTTTGTCTCTTTAATCATTCTCTGCATAAAAATATGTTTCCTACAGACTTTAATTATCATATCTGAGATTTTGATTAAAACCACAAGAGGTAAGAAATAATTAGAAATCTTTAATAAAATGAGCTGGATGGTGAAGCCCTGGTTCAGAACGATGACATCATGCTAATGTCGACTTTAAAACATCAGTTTTCTGATTTCCTTATAATATTTATGTACTTTGGAATAAAAACTGATCAGTTTTTATAAAAAGTAACTTTATTTTTTACAAGTAATTTGTAAATTACTTACTTTAAAGTATAAAGAAGCATAAAAAGGAACAAGGATTAGGGGACATTTTTCTGTCATAATTCGAGAGCACTCACATTTTCAATCTGAAAGCAACATTTAATGTCTTTTGTTCTCAATATTTTAATACTTTTGCTTAAATTTTAAGTTTGAAAGCAGGACTTCATGTCTTTCTTCTCAAAACTTGTAAATACTTGTGCTCAAAACTCCTGCTCTCTTTCAAATATTCACTCTGCTCTCTCAAACCTTTCTCCTCACGCTCAAAACTTCTCTGCTTGGATCAAATCTCCGCTCTTTACTCTGTTGTGAATCATTTTCTGCTCGCTTGGAACACAGAAGTACCGTTGCCTGGCAACCTGTCAGCCAATCGAATGAAAGAGTGGAACTGGGTGCGTTTGTTTCCTTCTAGTGGGTGTGCCTGTGTGCCACATACACTAGAAAATAAAAAATACTTGCTAAGATTTTGTGTTTTTGCATTTTTTTTTTTTTTTTTACAGAATTTGAACCAGTTGAACATGTGGAACATATTTTCAGACAAAGAAGATTTTTCATCTTAAATGCAAAATGTACAGTTTTGGAATCTGTGTACTCCATTTAATGATTAGTTGATTACTAGATGACAATGAATTTGATTATTCGTTTCAGTCCTAATTGAGTAATCTGAAGGATAGACACGACCAGCAGATTCCCAGCTATTCCTGCTTGGGCTTCTTGCACGCCGCTGTCAGTCTCACACTTCCTGTGCACCTCGACTCGGGCTTTCTGCCAACAGCAGCTTCCCTACAGGAGACAAACACCCATCGCCGAGGTTCTCCGTGTCTACTCAGCGCCGAGTCCTGCTGGGTCAGCAGATTGTAGCACCAGACCGAAAAAAGAAGGTTGTCGTTCTCCCATTACACAACGATAAAATAAAGAATCTGGCTTTCCACCGAGGCTTTGGATGCATTTGGCTGTGGTCTTTAGCGCAGCGTCCAGAGGAACCTGAGAGTGCTTGATGGCGCCAGCATGCTGCGCAGTAAAGATGCTGGTTTCCTCCCGGGCCTCGCTCACCACCATCTAACTGTTGTTTTCTTTTCCTGAAGCGCCTCTTGACCGTGAAACCTTGCAGCTTACAAAAACGTTCAGCGATGCTCCGTTGATTGCTGTAATTTTCACATCAGAGTCTCAGACGGACGTTCCTAAGGTCTTCGGTATTCGCTGCGGATGTTCCTGCGTAGAAGTTGGGTCTCGTGGTTCTGTAAGAGAAATAGTGACTCTTTGGCTGAGTTTATATTTAATATTTGACAGGAAAAGCAGTCCATCAGAAGCTGCACTGTTTTTTTTCTTTTGTACTTTTGAAGGTGACATATAATGCTTCCTTGAACAGTTTGGGATACGTTTACATATTCATTACCAAATCATTCTTTGACGACGAGATTTCAGTTGGCTCAGTTCTGCCTATTTTGAGCTGTTTTAGGGCGTCTTGTCACTTTAAATCCAAATGAACAGGCCGCACCCTCCAGCTCAACATTTACACTCGCCCATAAAAATGGCTGCAAACCTTACACAACCATAAAACTTTGAAAAGCAGAAGTGGAGCCTCCTGCACAACAAGCAAGAGTACAGCAAGTTGTTGATGGATAAATCAACAACAAAACGACGGAGCGTACAGCGGGTGATCAAGCATCTTGGAATTCATCTTGGGTTGCTAGGTAACGGGCTGGGCTTCTCTGGGGTTGCTAGGTAACTGTGGAGTGCCTGTTGATTTGTGATGTTGCATTCCGGAGGCTTTTGAAATGGCTCATTTAACAGACAATAAAAAACATTAAGTTATTGCCAAAAAAACAGCTGGGTGGGTTTTTTACAGCACTTAGACTGGATTTAGAAACAGGTGAGGCAGAAGTGGAACCAACAAGAGTGCGTCAAGTGGTTTCTGGGTGTTAAGGCAAGAACAAAGCACTTGTATAATCCAGCAGCCATTGTACAGTGCATACAGTGGTAAAAGCAGTTGACCAGACCTGCTGGAGTTCAGCTTGGGTTGCTAAGTAATGGGCAGAACTCTGCTGGGGTTGCTAGGTAACAGACCAGGCATACCGCTTTGTGACGTTACATTCGGGAAGCTTTTGAAACTGCTAATTTTCCAGACACCAAAAAAAACAACAACAACAAAAAAAACATTTAACTTATTGCCAAAAAACATTTACTTTTTAAATTAATCTAATTATTTTAAGAACTTTGGCTGCTTTTAGAACCAGAAGAGACTCAAATGGAAGTTCCAAAATGTGAGTTTTGTTCGATAGGTCCCATTGAAGATGTTGTGAACCTATTTATGTCCTGCAGTACAAACTTCTCCCCCTTCACCGTTTGGCAGAGACCCTGTAAGCCTGTATAATAGGACTTGCATTGCTTCCTACATACTTCTTCCTCCCAGCGTGTGTGGGTGCCATGCTGCCTCCGAAAGGGATCGCTACAGAAAACACTACATCCACAGCAATTATCCTCTTAGCATGCAGCGATGTCTCCTCCTCAATCTGAAGAGTGGCTCCTTTCAGCCAGACCGGCCTTGAAGAACCAGGGTTCCCTTTTGTTTTGCGTCACATTTAGTCGCTGACTCATACTTTGTGGAAGCGCTGCCATCATGGATCAATGGTTAGAAAGAAAAAAAAGTCAATGTGATCGGTTGCTCAATAGATTCCTCCTGATGGTAACATTTTCTGACTTTTATTTCAAAAAGTCATGCTCAGCGTCACATCTGCAGAAGGAGTTGAAGATTAAATCATTAAATATTCCTTGAAGGCAAATAAAGAGTTCAGGCTCAAATTTCTTCCTGCTAAACTTGGAAGGAGTTGATTAAACTGGAGTGTAAATATTGAGCTGGTTTTTCTGAAAGTCAGCGCTGCTAAATGCCGCTGCGGCGTCTTCATCCCGTCCGGTGAATCCCTGCTTTCATCGCGTCTCTGAGTCAGAGGGAAAAAATGAATCCTTTAAAAAAAGAAACTGCTGAGTGTGTGAACCCGGCTAGCTGTATTTACATTTTCTCACACTTCTCTTAATCCCTTTTCTAATACCACACAAAACGCTGCGTTCATGGTACTGTCTCACAGAGTCAGAACGAGGGGGAAATCAGAGCCGGGCCTTATGGAGGGATTAGCTGCACACAGAAGTCTGAAATAGGAGAATCCACACCGGATTATCTTGACTTTCAGACAACACAGCAACATCACAGCAACCGGAAGCTCTACCTACAGGCTATCGGTCTGCTCAGAGCAACCGAGCGCGCTGCTTTTTCCCTCTTGATTGCTTCCTGAAAAAGAGCTTAAAATCCTGTTGAAACTCCATCATGACGCCGCTGGAGTTGCCGTCCGCCCTGCTGTGGCCACATCTGCCCGGACCACGGCTGCACTGGCAGACTTGCACCCCGGGATCAGCAGCAAATCTCAATCAGGAGCGTGGGATGCCAGGAGGGGGCCGGCGAGTGGAAGCACATCATCTGTGCAGCGCGGCTGATTTTTCTGACTTTCGTCAGCGCATGAGATCACAAGCTTTCCATGCATCGGGAGACGGGGAAAATGTTCACACACACACCTCTTCAGATCGTATATGTTTGATAAGACCGAGACTGGAAACTACTTTGTGCCTAAACTGGCAGTATGCCCAAGGTCAGCTGTGGAAAATCTTGCTTTCACAGAGCAACTCCTGCAGACTAGCGGCAGCAATTAGCACGCTGAAGAATGTTTGTAAAAGGAGAAATACTGTTGTGATGAGCAGGAGCTTCTTAAAGAGACAGAAGCCCAATTTCAAGGCACCAAATTGCAAAGTCAAATTTATTTAAAGTTATGTTTGTTATATACATAATTTCTATACCAACTGAAGGTGATATAGTTACTTGACTGTGCTATAAAATGGCACTATGTGTTAAGTTCTATAGCTGTCCAAGCTTTAATGCTGCTCCAGTATTTCTGCATTATATTTTTAGTTTGACGTTGCTTGTTCTGTTAAAATGTCAAATATCATGTTGCAACCAAACCTCATTTTGTAATTGCTCAGTGTTTCCTGACTCTGCTTCTGTCTCTGTTTCCTTACAGTAAACTTTGACCACTTCCAGATTTTGCGGGCGATCGGAAAAGGGAGCTTCGGAAAGGTAACGCAGGTTTTTTTAATGCTTCACCTTTTACCCGCCACATTCATTATCTCTCTTCCTGGATGGTAAATCACATTGTGGTGCCTAAAAGAGTCATTTTTCTGTTTCAATGTGATTATTTCCTTAAGTAAAATTTACTTTTCCGTCTCACTCCGCCGGCTTCTGGGAGTTCTGACCCAGCGTCTCGGTTTAATTACCGAGCAGCGCTGCGCTGTTGCTGCGTTTGTCTTCATCTGCTGGGTTGGACCTGGCTGGAGGGGGAAACGTGGCGTTTCTCCGGTGTTTGTGGGCATTCTCACTCCCAGCAGCGGCCACAGGTGTTTGTGTCGTCATCAGCAGGCTTTGTGGATTAAAAAATGACATTTTTGATCAACATTAGTTTCTAGCTGTGTGTGTGTTGGGGGCTTTAATGCGTTTTCATCAGCACACAATTGGACTCTGGGGGCCTGAGTAGTTTATTCTAATTTTAAATCCCAAACATCTCAGCTAATATTTGTTCATTATTCATTTGTTGTGATATTCTCGTTCTCTTCTGAAAACATGTCCCGTGGATATGATGAACACATTAACATGTGAATTTATGTAAATTTATACTTATTGCTTTGTTCCCTGCAAGCTGTTTTCACCTCCTTCGCTATACAGAAGGGAATCTTCAGCAAAACGGGATGAAGAATATGTGGAAATATGAATATATATATATTACTGAACCCACTGGTGACCTGTTCAGGGTGTTCCTCACAACCCTGCAAGGATACGGGGATATTTTCTAAACTGCTGCCCAGAGTAGTGAATATAAATATTATTTAGTGGCGTAATGAAGTCAGTTACTTAATCAGCAATGACGTTTTTCACGGTGGAGAACCAAAGAGCTTCAGCACATAACAGATTAAAAGTTTAAAGTTTTCAGCTTTTAACCTCCATCTGCCAGAGAATATGTAGAATAAAGAGACTTTCTTGTCCAAATGAAATACCCAGAGTTGAACATTTGTGAGAAAAAATCTCTGAAATTTTAAGATTAATCCAAAAAATCTCTGAAATTTTGAGATTAATCCACATTGAAAAAATGTGGAAGTTTCAAAAGTTTAACATTTTTGACTTTTCCATTTTTTTCTAGAAAATTTCTGAGATTAATTAAAACATTTATGTGTTTTTGATGGGAATTTACTCCCATTTTGTTTCTATTTACAATAGCCCTAATAAATGATTCTCAATTCAAATTTTGTTTTGAAATCCTTTTTTTTTCTACGATCAGTCAGACTTCAGTCAGACGTTTGTGCGAACGGTTTACGACCCAAATGTACTGAAATACATGTAGTGCACTGTTTGCAGAAGTAGCAATGGATGGAGCCGTTTATGGATTGATTTGAAAGTTTATGGGAGCGATGGGAGCCGACAGCATCGCCACAAAATCCTAACAACACGAAGGAATATAATAAAAAGAAAGCACAACTAATAGCAATGGCCTTTTGGTGTAAAATTATGGTGCATTTCTCACAATATAACTGTAAACTTCAGAGTTTGAAAACTTAATACTATATATATAATTTAGCTCCACATATGGAAGTGGCAAAAGTCAAATTTTGGGGGGTTGAAAAGATCAGAATTGGGACTAAGTGGCATGATTGGAAAACCGTCTCTTGTATTTACTCAGGTTACACGTGATATCAGGTTACTTACTATATTATTTATTTCAACTGAAACATTTACAAAACAAGAGAAATCCATAAGGAACCAAACAGCCGTAATGTCGGATACACCGGTGCAACTGGGGAAAAAACGTTGCACTCCAGAGACTTTTAGTCACATTTGAGAGCAAATTAGTTGCACTCTGGTGCCCTGTAATATTCATGCAATGAATCCAATTAACTGCAGCAGAAGGCTTCCTGATCTGCAAGAAGATGATGGTAAAAATCTGTCAGTTTAAAGTATTTGGTGGAAAGTTTTCACCGGCGTTCCCGTCTTTTTCAGTCCGCTCACAGAGATGCTGGAGGTGATCTCATTTGATGTTTCGCGGCCTCACGCTGTGCTCCTGCTGCGTCTGGGCACCTAACAGCATAACTCTTCAGTTTCCCATGAAACGCATTTAAGAAAGAGAAGATGAAGTTTGAAATAAATTAGATTTTTGAGGCAAACAATAATGTGGAAAGTCATTATGTTTCCAGACGAGTATTAATCCTGCAAAGCTGTTACTTTTGCATCATAAAGAACACATTTAGTTTCTGTAACACGCTACTTTGTGTGGCAAAAAGGACCTTATGTAGTGCAATGAAACACAATCTGTGGTCCATAGCTTGTGTAGGTGCTCCAAGAAAAAAAAAGAGAGAAGATCTTAAAGGTTTTGAGTCGTAGTAGCTGTTGTTTGATGTTTGTGTTTGCTTGTGAAGGAGTGAAAATGAGTGCTGTGGGACTCGTTTCTTGCCTAGCAGGGAGTCGTGAGCCGCAGGAGGGGGAATGCCAAGAACGATGCAGAGGAACCCTCTTCTTCCAAGAGGCGTTTACAAACTCTCTGAACCGTTTACCACTTCTCTCTGCTTCTCAAATCCATGACGCTTCAGCTCCTTCTGCAGAAAAATGTGTTTATTTTTTTATAACACATCAATGTGCAGATTGGTAACAGTCAATTCATGTTAACTATAAGAATTTGTTTATCTGTGCTTGATAAGATATTAGGTGTGCTTCTGCAGCCTGCGTTGAATTTCAAGGACTAGACAGAAACCACGTCTAATATTGAATATTAGTGCTGCAACTATTATTCTGATAATTATTGGATTAAAAAAAAACTTGGTACATTCTGCTGGTTTTTCATTTAACAAATTAAACCTTTTTTTAATACAATGTCAGAATCACATTAATTCATTATTCATTAAAATAAATAGCAAAGAAACTAAAAAAACAATAGGTTGACTAATATGTAAAAATAAACTTCTTTCAAATGGATCAGAAAGTGCAATATTTAATATTATTAAATGTTTATTATAATTTAACATAATAAATATACGATTTAATTTAACATTTACTTATTTAATCTAAAATGAAAAGCATTTATTTTATAAATATAGTATATATGATCAGATATTATAGATATAATATATATTTATGTAATTGAAATAATATATATATTTTAAATAAATTAATTATTTTAAATATGCTATCTGAAATAATTTTGAATAAAATGATTCATTTTAAATAAATCAATAAAATAAAAAATTTCGAATTAATAAAAAATATTTATATATTTATTATAAACAAATGTTTAAAGTAAATATTTATTTATGTAATATGATTATATTTACATTAATTATAAAGTAAAATACATAATAAATAATGTCGTTGCTCAGAGCACAAAACATAGAAATAGACTGAATAGATCTACCTTTACGGACTGGGAATATTGTCATCGATATCTGATCTAGAGTTTTCTTCAGTATTGATACCGATATCAGTATCGGTATCGGTGCATCGTGTGAATACACCCTGCTTAGCCACCTGCCTGCGTCGCTAAAGGAATGCATCGTCCTGGAAACTGAGGTGCGCTGGTGTTATTGTGTGAATTCCTGCGGTCTCCTCCGTCTTTCTCCCTCTGATGTTCTGAAGCATCTGTACTCCGGCAGATGGAGTGAGGAGGGATGTGATTCATTCCTCAGCGTAGCTCATTTGTAACAGCTCACAAAGCTCCACACACGTTCTCAGAGTTGATATAATTGCCTGCTTCCCCTTCGCACCCCCCCACCTCTTCTCCCATGAGTATCACCCTTCGCCCCCCCACCAACCCGCGCCCGTCCAGAAACCGCCGTGTCGACCGCGGGGCTCATTAAAACCTGTGCTACCGGAGCTGGAGGGCGACAGTCATCGGATCTGACAGCAGTTTAGTGACAGCTCCCCAACGCCAGCAGTCAGGTTAACATCGAAACGCAGAGAGAGGAAGAGAGAGAGGGGATGGAGACAGACACGGAAGGTCAGGAGTAGCGGAAGAACTCAGCTGGTGGTTTCCACGTCTTCATTTCCTGTGCCATGCAGACACTTCACTACAAATAACCCCTTGTTGGGCGCCCGTGTGATGGAGGTGGAGAGACGGACGGACGGAGACAGAAACAGGCGCTGGCAGTGAGTGGGAGCAGAAGAGAGACGAAGGGGGGCAAAAGGACAGCGAGAGGAAACTGTGACGAGCTCATATGGGAGAAATGCAGCAGGAAAGGTCAGGAGATGATGAAGCCTTTTTTAGCATTTGCTCTCTTTAGTCGCCCCACTCCATGTCCACCTGCCTGTAAGCCAGATATTGCTCACAAAAACGTCGTCCGTCTTCTTTAGCTGCCAGTGTGAAGACGGGAATTTGTTTTGCAGTTTTCCACCATCGCCTTCAGCTACCTTTTAACCTAGAAATTTGGCGCCTCCATCCCCCTTGTGCCTCTTTAGGTTTCACTGGAGCTCTGTTGCTAAGCTGCACAGGATTCAGGGGCCATATGGATAAAATCGCTCCAGGAACCCGAAATCTGCATCTTTACTTATTTAGCAGTTTGTTTTTAACTACGTCACTGTTTCTTTATACTAGTTCACAGAGCTGTTGTGAAATCTGAATCCTTCATTTTGCCGTCTAAGTTTGGTAAAGTGCTAGGAAAAACTCTATAATTAGATATTCGGAGTGTGTTGTATCCATTAACATTCCAACCATTTCCCCCTGAGAGACTCCGTCAAGTATCAGGACTTATAAAAAAAAATAAAATAAAATGTCTGCTTGTCCACGCCAGTTTTGTTCCACCTCCACATTTTCCATATCTGTGGCGCCGCGTGGAGAATTAATTGCAAAGCTGTGACTGAAGCCAGCTACATTTTCTCCCCTTTCAGGATAAAATTACATATTCTGCTTTTTTAAAATCTGATTTGGTTCTGGGATAAAAAAGGTTATTATGCTTTAAAAGTTCAGATAAGAATTCAGTCGACTAAACGTCCTTTCATGATCAGTGTTTCTGCCCCAGATGAGAAACCTTCAGAGGTTCGTATCT